AGACAGCTGAAGTCTTAGTGAGCATTATGCCTTTATTAGTGATGTTTTATATTCCGACCTTTAGACAAGATGCATTCTTGTGTTATATAGTCAACAGTCTCACTGGCGGTTTAATGATAGAATTCTCTCTATCCAATCATGTGGTCTGAGTTCGAGTGTCAACCAGCGGACCCTATTACCTCGCCTAGTCGTTAGTTAAGCCCTGGGAAGAGGAATATTTGGGCATGAGCACAACAGTTCAATTCTCGAAGAAACAACATCGCTGCTGAAAATTCAAAACACAGGTTTAAAGCCCATTTTCCACACACCAGGCAAAGGAATGAATCAAAAATATTCAACTATTACTCTGGCACTAGAAGTGATGTGATTTAATAAAAGTCAAGCAATTTTTTGATATGTATGATTGTATCTTGCCAAGCATCATTCTACATCTTAAAACGTAAGTGAAATGGTGTCAGTGTACTTTGTCAGTACACTGTTCATAATCACAACAAGTATTCATGCAATCCTGTTTCAAAGAATTTCTTTAAATTTGAGGAGTCAAAATCTCATTCCAAATATTCGGGAAACTTCACATGTCTCAGTGTCTTCACTGAACATGATCAAGTCGCGTCCAAATAATTCCCCAAACAGTTAATCTCTAGGTGGTGGAGTCCCAAAGTTTTCATCATTGAAATGAATCGGAGTGGAAAAGTCGTCATTTCACGGATAGATAAAACCTTCGCATAGGCTTTGTGACCTTTTATGAGGTAAGTCAGAATCTACAGTTCTTTTGTGTGTCTGACCTTTACTAACCTCGCCTCACAACAGAAAGGTGGTAACTAGACATTATCCACTTCTCGGCTGGGGAAATCTGTCTGGTTATTGACACATACATGTCTGACAACCACGTCAAGGGAACAACTGTCAGTCAACACTCTGTCTACAGGAATCGTTTACAAACAATATTATTCTAAGTGTAAAAATTTCTCGTTGAGTGTAGACTAACAAACGTCAAATCTTGACTACTGATCTACTTCCATTGATTATATATGCAACGGGACTGTTAAACTAGGTCATACAATAGAATGAATTATATTCAATACCAGGTAGGCGTCCCATATGTCTTTCCTCATTAATTAACTTATTCATTCGACTAATTGTAAGGTTTTCTGACTATAAGAGTCAATTTCCGGTAAGATATGACTCACCTTACACTTTTTTTAAGATACTCCTTGTTGATCGAGGTAGTACAAAGTACTTAATATAATCAAATTCAGCTTTAACCAACTGAGGCATATTTACATTAATTTGTTAAGTACAGAGTGTGTATTTTTACGAGTTTGACCAGGAATTGATATCAGTTAGAGAACCATTGAAAACCAGAACTGAAGTCCTGGACAGCTGCTTCATCCTAGTTTAAGAATTATCGTCAGTACTCACCCCACAATAGAGGGCTCGAATCCAGGACCTTCCGGTTACAAGGCGAGCTGACTCGTATACCAGTCAGTCACTAGGACTCCATTCAGTAGTCAGCCTATGAATTATAACTTTTACCACTTTCACAGAATGTGTACATTCAAAATGATCCATTCGGCACTGATATGCGTTCGCTACGCTTGATTATGGTCAATTGAAGTGATCTACTTCTTGACCAAAAAGTATGTGGATTGACAGCGATACAGATTTTACGTTATATCACCAAATTAATACATGCGTCGTATTCAATTCGGTAGGGATCCATGTATTAGAATATGCATATATCACACAGTGAAATAGTATTATTTTCTGGGTAACTTTTCGAACAAAATGTATTCTTAATAATCATAACGATTGTAGCTACACAATTTATTCCCCAATCAACGTTATTTAATTACTGTTCATTCCTTGCCTTTTCAGTAGGACCTAAGGCTTAAATAGTACGTCCTCATTGTATTCCGCTGTCTGCAATCACTTTCCATTGACTCCACGAATCCACACAAGTTTTCAGTTTACATGATCTCCCTTATGTCACTCATAGACTGACGCCGAATATATTGCTTACCAACCTGTCCGGTGTGTGATGTCCCTTGAGTGTCTGCTTAGCGCGTTTGTCCAGTCTTCCTCAATTTCCTTGCGTATTTTTGTCCCAAGAAACCTCATTTTCTGCTTGCTTATCCTTCTTGGTCGACGATTTCATCTTCAGTATCCGGAGAAGGTAAGTGTCAATGGAAGTTTGCAGTAGGCCGTTGAAAATGCTTCCAGTAACGCTCACGTCCATTAAGTTTCTGAAGTACATAGAAGCACTGACCGACATGGCATAAGTGTTGAAAATTCAGATCATTTGTTTGTGTTAGGTGCTTTTCATCTCTGAAGTCGTGATTGTCTGCCTTGCTTTCCCCATTCTTCCTCGCTTTGATATTCCCATCCATAACACCTGTAGTTAAAATGACACTGGCTAGTTCAAGTGACTGAAAGAAGTAATTACCTTTAGAATTCTGCCGTTGATGGTGACTGATTCTCTTTTTCTGTATGTTCATTTGAAGTCTTGTTTTCTCCTGTAAATTGTCGACTTTGCGTGACACAAAATATAGATCATCCGCGAGGTCCAGATCTTCTAGGTCCTTCGTTGGTCTGATGTATATCTGTCTTCTCACTCACTCCATATAGTCTGTTATACGATCCAATCCACCATAATTTGAAGGGTCACCAGCGATAGTGGAGACTTAGCCTTACTCCTAATTGTCTTCGCTTCACAGGCTTCACCGAGCTATTCGTTGTAATTTACTTGGTAGGTGACATTGTCATATAGCTGTTGAACGAGTTTTTATACATGTTTGACAAATTACCCCACAACCGACGCTGTCGAAAGCCTTTTCAAAGTCGACGTAATTGAAGTAAAGAGTTGGCTATCATCTTAAGCTCTGTTCGATGATGATGTGTAAGCATAGTAGAACTATCCAAATCTTCGAGAGACATTTTGAATAAGTGTAATCATAGGAAAGAAATAGAAGAACTATAAAAATCGAGTTTTGAAGTTGTATAGTTACAACTGATGACATAATAATTAAATGTTGTTATGCAGGGATTTGACTGGTTACAGGTTTGAACACGAGATGACGTCATTTAGAAAACCACTGGAAATCCTAGGAGTACTGGAAAGCTGTTTCGTCCTAGTTTTGACCTCCTCAGAAGTACACACCCGATGAGGTTCTAACCTAGGACCTTCTGGTTACGAGGCGAACTAGTAGAATCCTAAACTATAACGAAACAGATATACAGTACTTCCAGGTTTTCCGGTGGTTCTCTAACTGAGGATATGACTATGAACAATAAGTTGAGTGCTCAATATCATCGAGTAAAGACAATCTCTCCACCGTGTAAAATTAATATGATCACCAAATTATTATCCTGTCCCTGTTGACTTTCACAGTGTTATTTACTCTTGGAATTAAATGCCTTCATCAGTCGACTTGTTCAATACAGGGAAATAGGCAATAACAAAATATTAAACTGGAAACGATTAATTGACATAGGCTTTGATTTGAAACTAGTTGGTAGCTAGTTTAATGTGTCTAGTCCTTAGTGTTGGTGCAGACTGAATTCTATCAGTCAAGTTTGCAAAGTAGCTATCATGCTGGCTCAGTGATAACGTTTCTGACCTCAGCACTGAGTGACATGGGTTCGAATCTCAAAAGGGAAATGAGTTCCTTCAAGGTTGCAGATACGCCCTGATGACGAATGCCAACAAGCACGAAACTCAGATCTAAGGCTTCCTGCTGATTGCCTCCAACCGGCTAACAATACAAGCTTGAAGTTGTCTGTCCTCAAGAAATGAATTATCATTATTCATGTCAAATCAATGCTTCTGTATACTTCAGAAACCTGGCACATGCGAGTGCATCACCAAAAGTTTTTCCAATAGGCTAAGTGTAGACTTTTAGCAATAGCTGACCTTATACTTGATACAAAAGCTTGGATGGCCAGCAATGAAGAGTCAGCCCGTGATGAAATCCTGTAACTAATCAAATCCCTACAGACCAACACTTGAATATCAACGGGATGCTCACTAGCGACTTGTCCTATTCAAGTAGGTAGTTACCTGGGGTTCTAGTGAGAATTCGTGACCAGTAGGGTGCAGCAGGTTGGGTGTGAGGACAAATACTCCCCGAAGACATTTGCTAGCGGTTGCGCTATATTGTTAGGTGGCAGAAATTAAAATTCATGGGCCATTGGATCGGGTCCCAGTGGCTTAATAGTATACGAGCTCGCTAGCCTTGTAACCAGAAGGTCCTGGGTTTGAACCCCGTGGTGGTGAGTGCATACTGATGATGAGTCCCAAATTAGGACGAAACAGCTGTCCAGTACTCCCAGTTGGTTTTCCTATGGTTCTGTAACTAGTGTCAGCTCATGATGAAAATCCTGTAACCAAAATAAAGTATAAGTTAGCAACAAGGAACTCTCATAATGAATCAGTCAACCACTTGTCTATTATCCAGCAAATATGCGGGAGGAAATGGAAACAGAATAGACAAGTGCTCTGAGGAGACCTTCAAGCGATATCCTACGACATGGCCCTCGATTGGCACTCGAATTGGGCAACAACCAGTTAGGTGTGAATCCAACAGTATTACAGAGAAGAACTCATAAATAGAGAATGAAAGTTTCTGTTAAGTCATACAGCCGGTTGTGCGTCGGTGGCACAGTGGTTAGGACTGTCGCCGACCATACACATGGTTCGGGGTTCGAGCCCACGCCGACGCACACCTGATATCTATGGTCGGCCTGCAAAATTTGGGCTACCGATATCCACGCTGAAAATTCCACACTTGTACCAAAAGTATGGTGTGGAATCAAGCTGTAATCAAAAAATATAAAAAAATAAAATGCCTGCAAAGAATTGAGAGGAATGCATATATTCCTATGAGATCCTACTTTTCCACTAGAAAGCCAATGCACGAATGGTAATAATAATAATGATTACAACTACTATCTTCAATCAATAGACATGAAAGAAGAGGAAACTGGGTATGTTCACTTACCAACCATTCGTTTTTCTAACAGCTGCATTCGATCTGCAAATTCATTTTTCAGATCAGTAATTTTCAGAGTACTAGAAAAAAGGGAGTAAATTTCAACAATGAAATTGTATTCAGTGGATACACCTCGTGTGTGATAAACGCATTCTAAATTAATGAATACTTTTCATATTCATTAGTAAATCTTTAAAAAAACATTTCCAGTCAAATGCAGTTGGGTGTGGAGCAGCCTAAAATGGTTAGCTAAAAGAGCATCATAGTGAAGAGTGGCATTTCAGTTTTCATTTCCTCTTTACGCGACCTCCTATTTGGGTTCTACTCGAGCGATGGCTTGGTTTGTGGTATCACTCAGCGGTCTCAGAGTATGTTCAATCCATCTATTTCCACCTCCTTGTCTATACTCACTGAAAGATGGGTGGTTAAATGAAGTCACTGTCAGAGTTTCTTGTCGGTTATCCTTTCTCATTACTCATCGAATCTTCATTTTAGTGAGTGAAGGTACCCGTTGACAGAAGTCTGCAGGAAGCTGTCGGAAATACTTTGGACAATAAGCGTGCCAAGTGTATGAACAATGAAGAAGCACTGACAGACTTGAAATTATTGGCGAAAATTTAGATCTAGTTTCTTGTGCTAAGTGACGTGGATCTTCGCACTGATTTCAGAGGAATAAACGCCCTTTTCTACTTGAGTTATCCTGACTGGGTTTGATATCATCATTGGTGCAACATGCCTCTACCAATAACAATGTTCTCCAGATCAAGTGAAAAAAGAGAGGCCTTTTCTCACTGATTTTCACTGGAGCATAAATTGTTCCTCACCCAATATATCGGTGCATATAGAGGAGATCTAATCGAGAACAACACTACCTACAAACAAGTATTTGAATGTCTTGTGTTTCGATCTAAGGTGGGGTCATCGGTGAGTATGCCTGAACAGTTTGCAAACTAGAATTAAAAAACCCAGCTGTTCAGAGGCTTCTGGCTCCCAGTGGGTCTCAAACAGACTTCATTTTTCGACTAAATCTATCTGGAAAATAGTATTGTTCGCTGACAAGTTCACTTCTGAATTTCACTATAGGAATTATTATTAAACCATTATTACGCAATTGCAGTGTAATCAATGGTGGTTCAGCGGTAGAACACTCGTCAGCCATACAGCTTAACCATAGCTGCCGAAGCTAAACTCTAGGCAGCAAAAAGTAACAAAGCAGCGTGACAGCAGCAATAACCTAGAATGGAGCAATCAGATACCCTACATGAGTTCAAGGTAGTATCCTACTTGGTTAAGATCAAATGCCCACTCTAACGGACTTTTATCTAAAAACTGGTGTAAATGGAGTGTCCCAGTATTGTTTAGATGTGAAATTGATTGGAAGTGAAAGCATTTGTTCTTTTGGAGGTAATAAAAACTATTGAAACCTTCAGTAGATTTGTCGATGGACAGGTTCAATATCGTGAAGTTTTTTCTGAGGTGAATCAGAGTGACAGAAAGTAAGCTGATGATTGTATTATTTCGTAGGAAAATCGTTTAGCTAGGTCACACCATTTATTAAATCATATTTCATATATTCACAATTACCGGGTATTAAAATATGCTGTAATGGCTACAGCTGCTAAAACAGAGAATAGTCCCATCACTACCATTCAATGGTATCAGTACTGTAAATATATGTACCATCGTGGAATACGGAAAGACTAACTTCTTCACTGAGAGATGTTGTTGTTCATATAGACAAAAAAGTTCCTGATAAAGATAAAAGACAACCGAGCTCGTGTAAAAGCAGATAACGTTTGATTTTTTGGACTGTATGATATCAACTTACGGAAAAGATTCATTGAAAGTCTACAATTTCAATACTCATTATTACTGGATTAGTGAAATCGGAATCTATAATACACACCGACGAATGGAAAGGATATAATTCATTTTCATCCCTTCGTTATACTCATGACAGGGCAAACCAACCTTAAGTTATGTGGATCCCATTACAGTCACTTACATCAGTCCTATTAAAGAATTTTCGGGAAGGTTGAAGAGAATAGCTTAACTACTAATGGATCTCAAAAAGGACATCAACTACAGTCATCTAGACGAATTCCTGTATAGAATGAGATTTAATTCCTCTGTTGACAAGCCAATACAAAATCTGAGTAGTATTTTCGTGACATAGTGGAGAAAGGTATCCTGCGTAACAGTTTCATAACTTTTTATTGATTATTTCCCAAAATACTTATGTTTTTCATAGGTGGAAATCGCTTTTTTTTCTGTGACTAATGAGTTCACAGTCATTGGTCTGTTGCAACATTTTTCTTCTTGAAGTTTAACTTTGTTGCAGGGTTCAACTTCCAGACGATATGCCCTTAAGTCTCATGTAAGTGGTTGTGAGCCCAGTAAACAGAGAAGTTTGGGTATAAGGTTAACAACCCCACCCTATAAAACTAAGTAATTCAAGTGTTGGTTTGTAGGGATTTGTTTGGTTTCAGGATTTCAACATGAGCTGACATTAGTTAGAGAACCATTGGAAAACCAACAGGGAGTATTGGACAGCTGTTTCCTCCTACTTTGGGACTTTTCAGCAGTACGCACCCACACTGCGGGGTTCGAACCCAGGACCTTCTGGTTACAAGGCAAGCGAGCTCGTACACCATTAAGCCACTGGGACCCGATCCAGTGGTCCTTGAATTCAAACTTCTGCCAATTCATGACATAGCGCGACCGCTAGCCAGTACTCACAGTTTTTCCAATGGCTCTGTAACTAATGTCAGCTCATGATGAAATCCTGAAAACTAAGTAACATCGCAGTTACCGAAACTTCAAAGCTCCAAGATTGAAGCCCTAGGTTTCACTAGGAATACAAAGTAATAAAATAATTATTATTTATAATAATTATGAATAAAAGTAATAATAAAATAAAACAGAATTACTCATTTAACTGTACTGTCAGCGATTCAAACATACGAGCAATGAGGCTAATTTCACTCGGTTCTGAATTGTGCACAACTGTCACAGTATAGGGTGTACTAAAAGAATGCATACAGAAAAAGAAAGTATATGAAGTAGGAAATGAGAATAACATCTGTAACACTAATAATAATAATAATAATAATAATAAAAGATACAACATTTGTCTCCATGATTATTACGTAATTCAAGCTTGTACTCACTCATATACGTCATTATGATTATTTTGTGTTTACATATTCATATATACATAGTTTCAAGTGATTTAACTGTGAATTCGTATACATCGGATTTTCAACGATAAAATCATTGATGAAACTACGCAATCGCATAGTTTAACTGAGAAAACTGAGAGCATATGACTGAGTTTATTTGTGATTTTCACATACGCACTCAAACACCTATACATGCATAAGTGAAAAATTATGCCGAAAGCTGAATCTAAGAAACTTAATAATCCATTGAGAAGGCATGTATGTGGTTTACAATAACCATAGTAATAACAAAATGTATTACTGATTACTATGAGTAGGTGAAAACCACTCTGCCTGCTAGGCAGATCGCCAAAATGATCCTAAGTCAATAGACTACAGTTTCACTCTTTTAGGACCAAGTGCATCGGCAGTGTAGTAACTCAGTTCAAAGATCGGAATCATTTCAAACCATGAGAATTACAGCTAGCTACTTGGGTGAGCAGTTGGAACTCGTTGTCCAAGAAATATGCAGAAGGAAATGGGGTTGGATTGGACACAGGCTGTGGAGTTCATTGCGTGACATCATGTGCCAGACAAGCGCTCGAGTTGAACTCAAATGAGAAATGGAGAGTTGAACGTGGAACCAAAAGGTGACATATAGGAGACTGTGTGAGGAGGATGCGGCTAAAGAGGATTGAAGAAAACCACATGAAAGAGAGATGTGCAATTGAAGCCCTGTGTTTCACCAGTGACCTAAGGGAATAACAGTAGTTCGTGATATGAATTCATCACAAATCCCTAGGGAGAAAGTAATATATATGAATGTGATCCGACTGATACTACGAGTGATAAACAGGAAGGACAACATAAGTGTACGGTGTGAATGGTCTAGTTGCTCATGTCAATTAATCCGTAGTAATATAACAAGATGCATTTATGCTCGCTTCGCTTACTACATATTATGATCTAAATATTTCCGGTCTTTGAAGGCAACTGTTGGCGAATGTTCACCTTTAACTTTGTGATTTTCAAATTGTGAATAAGATTTAATCTGTAGATAAACTTTATCGTCATTTCCTTGTGATATGAAAAGCATACAAACTAAAATACAGTATGAACTTCACTCAGTGTTTGCTAATCAGACTAATGGATTCTGGACAAAATAGAAACGCCTCAAGACGACCTCACAGTCATCTACAGACTACGTGGAAATCTTGACAAAAGAGTAAAAATGAAACTTCTTTGGACCGCAGAAGCTATGACAATCCAGATGTTAAATCCTGAAATCTGCATACAGAAGATGTTCTTTTCAGTAAGTGAACCTACAACAGGCCTTAGTTTTCTTAACACTGAATACAGAATTTCCGTTAATCCTAATTTAATAGTTTTTTTTATCGAAAAGTTCCCCCTATGAGCTCCTCAGTATTACATTTCTACTTCTTATAACACTGATCTTAACTTGACGCTTGTTCATTTTTAGTTGATTTCTGCCCAGTCCTGTGAATTATGTTACTTCACACAACTTAATTATTTAGTACTGGTTTATAGGGATTAGACTGACTGGTTACAGCATTTCATCATGAGCTTATGTCGGTTAGAGAACCACTGGAAAACCTGCAGGGTGTACTGGACAGTTGTTTATACCTAGTCTAGGACTCTTTGTCAGTATTCATCCGCCACAAGGGGTTTGAACCCAAGACCTTCTGGTTACAAGGCGAGCCAGCTCGTAGACTATTAAGCCCCTGAGATCCGGTCCAATGGCCACTCGATGAATTCCAGCTGCCGCCAATTCACGACATAGCACGACCACTAGCCAATATCTTTGGCTAGTATTTGTCCTCACACCTGACCTGCTGCTTTATTTTAGTTTCTAAAAAATCAGTGCTTTCTGTTCTACCTAACTGTTACCTAAAGTTTATAATTCTAGTGAAATATTTTTGGAAAATACAGCGTATAAATCTGAGTCTGATGAAGTATAGGTATGGATTGTGTAAACTTTTGATTGATGAAGATCTGTTTTACTAATCTGACGCCAAGTTCCTCAGTCATTTAGGATGATCTATTCAATCCGAACAAGTTGTCTCATCTGTCCACTTCTGTGTGCATATATCAGTTCATCTGTTGCCGTGCAGCTAGGCACATTCGTCGTTCGACGCTTGTCCTGTCCAAAGAGTTTCAAGACCACTCTCCCTCATGGTTGTAAAATCGTAGTAGTGGCTGTATAAGGAGTGCTATAATCAAACACCTTGTGAACACTGGCTATGCCCTCTCGACAAACGCCTCCTTTAAAGTAATTTACAGAGCAAAGAATAACCTACCAAAGGTAATACGCTTTTGTCTCCTTTTTATTGCTGAAGCCTTAGACATTCAGTTGGTGGAACCAGAGTTATGCATACAAAAGAAAATCGTCCAACCACTTCTACTATTATGGTAATAACCATGTTGACTACAAGTGACTTGATATTTGTGTGCTTGTTTCTTCTAACTCCTTATAACACTTGTAATTTGTGGAACTCTTACATAACTCTATATTTTCCTAATGTACACACGCATACAAAAATAAGTATATATAACTGTGACTGTGCAGCTAAGTGAATGAATTCCCCGAAAAGAGACTCTTCTCTGAACTATGTTTTTCTTTCAATTCGGAAAGGCAGATGTTTTGAATGAGCACTGTATATTTCTCCCATTTGCCTGCGATCTCATCAATCAATATTAAAATCCGTAAACCTCTTAGTACTTGGAGACGAATGATTCCAGAAAATGACTTGACTACCTCTGAACAAACAATACCAGCTCAAATGATTCGATAAAATCCTCCTGTCAGTCATTCTACGTCCAGATCATCTTCGTCAGGTTAAAAAATACTACCAGTGGACATGAATAGTTCCCAACTAAGCACATTAATCAAGAAGTAGTATAATGTAATTAATCCTTCGGGTTTTAGGTAGAGTATAGAGCTTCATAAGAACATCTCAATTCCACCGCATTCTCAGAAATCTTTTATCTGACTCCACAATTACCCACAAGTTGTTAGTTAGCTCACACGATCCCCTTTATGTCATCCTGGAATGGATAGATTCTTAGTTGGTTTGTTGTTAGACTTCGTTTCAGAAAGGAGAAGTATGTCCTTTCTGGAAGGTCATTTGATCGTCAGTATTGAACCAGCGAAGTCAGTTGTTGCAGTAACATGTACATATAATATTCTAAAACTTTGTGTAAAAAGACCATCATGTTTGCTCCAAATACAGTCTACTGCATATACGGGATTTTATCATTAGACCAGTAATAACTTTTGAAACTAAAAGAAAAGGCCTATTTTTGTATCGACGGAAAACAGCTGTAACAACAGCAATGCAAACGAAAAGAACGCGCATTATTTTTGTCAGATTGTTCTTCACTTCTTTGTAGATTACTTTGCTGAAGGCGTTTGTTGACAACGCTGGTCATTCCATCTCAATAAAGACAACCTTCAGTGTAATCCACAAAGTGAAAAACGATCTGCCTAAGCCAATACGCTTTCGTCTCCTTTGCATTGCGGAAGCTTTAGCCATTCAGTTAAAAAAATACATAAGCTTTGCATTCAAAAGAAAATTATTTAATCAATTGTACTATTACGGTAGCAACCTTGTTGGTGTTTATACTGACTTGATTTGCGTTTCCAGCCCTGTATGACTTCCCTATGTAGGAATTTAGGACTCCTACATGATTCAGTATTGTGAACTATGATTACGATAACTCATCGCTGTTGTTACTTCTCCCCCCGCCTTTCTTAAAAACAGAGAAAGGATAAAGACTCTAGAAGATCTGAACTTCATGGTTGATTTATATCGAATATTTCATAAAGTCAAAGATATACAGGTAAAAATTAATAACTGGGCAGAAAAAGCAGTGTAGAAAGGACTGCAAGGAAGTATAAAGGTCGTGAAGATACCTAACAATCGGCAGCAGGCACCATTCACTTGCCTGATCCAAGCAACATTGTTTCAACGACAGGTGATAATTTAGATGAGGATGCCAAAGTCAAAAAAGGGGCAGAAAAGCAAGACAGACCTTGACTCTTCCGAAACCAATGTAGGAATCTGTTACATTCAGTATAAGGAACAAAATTCGAGTTAACCAGTGCTTCTATATGGTTAAGGAAATTGGTGTGCATTCCACGAGAAGCTAGCTGCCTTTGTTGTCTCAATATTGAAGATCAGATGTCTAGTTGAAAAGAACTGGTAGTAAACCAACCAAGAACTTATCAACCAAGAAATATGCCGTAAGAAATGTAGGTTATTTTGACGTACACTGTGGAGATCGTTGAGTAAAATCAGGCTCTAAGTCGTCTATTGGACTTGGACTGAGAAATGATTAGTTTGACAGGGATTTTAAGAGTGACATAGAGCAGATTGTGTGGGGAGGAAGATAGAAAGTTTGATGCAGATGTGCTAATAATAAATAAATAATTATAGCAGTCAACTTACTTATATGTATTGGTTGGCATTGAACCTGAACAAGGCACATTTAATCCATTCACATCAGTTATCATCACATGAGACGATCTACAAAATAGAAAGGAAAACCCAAAAACCCAGTGAAATCAAAACAGACATTTAAAAGATCGGATACAATCCATAATCTAATTCATATGCAATTTTGATTTACTTTGGAACATTTGACAGAAGGCATAATAAATCGTGAATTTCACAATGCGAACATGACAATGAGATCATCAACTATAGATTGAGATTAGTGCTCTTTTTATTGTTTTATTTTCACAAATTACCCTTTCAATATTTCCATTAATTGAAAAATAAATCACTTTTGGTGTTAGTGCTGATGTACCACTCCCCATAATCTGTTTAATATATGCGAATATTTTTGTGGATATAATTTTCGAAGATTATTATTAGTACTATTATGATCAATAATAATAATAATTTTGGATGAAGTATTGCTTAAATCATAAAATTCGTAATTGACGAGAATCAAAAGAAAGTCGAAAACAGAAATGATAAACTGGACTAATAGAATTCATTCAATTAATGCTCCATTCAGCGTATATATTTGTTTTAATAAATCTCTGTCTGAAATTTGATTGGTTGTCTGTTGACCTTCAGGTGTATACTCAGTTGACTAATCAGAATGGACCTCCTGTAATTAACTCAAATTTTGTTTTTCTATACATCAATCAAACTAACTAAAAGTTAGGTATATGTGTAATTATGAAAATAACAATCAAACCCTCTTCATGGTATCATATATTTCATAAAATCTTCTATTAAAATTTTAATGATCCCCAGTGAGATACAAAACGAAGATTTCAGCGAAGACAATTCTCTTTCTGATGATTTGATTTCCATACCCGTACAATTGTATACACATATATGGATTTAAACAAAGCAATAAAAAAGACGCAATTTGTCTGAATCGTGTAATGTATTTCCGCACAACACATTTCAAACAATCTGATCATACAACGCCTTGTCATAGGAATATTTATGAAAATAATAAAGAGTTAAGGGGTGAGGAAAGTGATTTGGATCAAGTTAAAAGAACATATTGAAGGTCAAAATAACAATGAAGATCACTAAACCGAAAAACAGAAGTAATAGTACATCTGTTATGGTATGAAAACGAAGTTTACGAAAAAAGGATTAGTATGATATCAGTTAGAGAACCATTGAAAACCAGGGAGTACTGGACAGCTGCTGTTTCATCCTAGTTTGGGAATCATCGGCAGTACGCACCCACTGGGATTCGAACCCGGGACCTTCCGGTTACAAGGCAAGCTCGTATACCATTAAGCATGGGTGCGTACTGCCGATGATTCCCAAACTAGGATGAAACAGCAGCTGTCCAGTACTCCCTGGTTTTCAATGGTTCTCTAACTGATATCAATCCGTGATCAACCCGTAAAACGTAACTAATCCTTACAAACCAAACTATAGAAAGTTAATCTGATGCTCGCTAGTGACTTGCTACAGGTTGGAGTTTCCTGAGTTCTAGTGAGAAGTCGTGACCAGTGAGGTCCAATTAGATGTCACGTGTGTGGATGGATGTCCCACCAACGACAATGGTTGGGGTCGCGCTAAATCACGAATTAGTAGAAGTTAGAATTCACGAGCCATTGAATCGGGTCCCAGTGGCTTAATGGTATACGAGCTTGCCTTGTAACCGGAAGGTCCCGGGTTCGAATCCCAGTGGGTGCGTACTGCCGATGATTCCCAAACTAGGATGAAACAGCAGCTGTCCAGTACTCCCTGGTTTTCAATGGTTCTCTAACTGATATCAATCCGTGATCAACCCGTAAAACGTAACTAATCCTTACAAACCAAACTATAGAAAGATTAGTATGATGACGAATTGTTTTTCAACGCATATAGATGGTATAAACTTCCTAACTGCCAGTTACAGCTTCAACAAACTTTAGAATACGCCCCAAACACGTTTTATAGATAAATTTAAAAACGTGTAAACATCAATTATATTAAGAACACAATATTCAGCGAAGGGACTTTTCAACGAATTTATTATCAAGCTGTAGAATCGTATATATATATATATAAGAGACCTTATTCATTCGCTCTGCTTTAGGATGAGGAAAATTGCATTGACTCAGAACTTGACTTCTTAAAAGCCACTCTCGCAGAAAATGGTTACCCTAACCGACTTATTGACAGCAACGTGAAAGATAAGCAGTCTAAACTGGTCACCGACTCAGTTCCAAAGAAAAAACTTACTGATGAACTTGGAATTCAAAGATGATCAAGCTTCAGATATGCTCAAAAATCATCTCTCTGAATCAGTCAGTAAGACGTTCTTTGCAGCAAAATTACATACGACGTTCACGAGCCGCAAAATGTTCTCTACCTCTGCAAAAGATAAACTCCCCCGTCTGCCCGCCTCCATGTGTATCTATCAGTTCACCTGCTCTTGTCGAGCAAGGTACAATGGCCGTAGTCAGAGGACGCCGCTTCCCACACGGATACGAGAACATATTCCAGCTTGGTTTTACAAGGGAGAAAGGAAGTGTGTGTGAAGCTCGATTCTGGAACACCTGATCAACTTCATTCACTCAGTCAATCCTGACCATGATTTCAAGGTCATATATAGAATCTATGCTAACTTCCTGCGTTTTCTTCGTTACAGACTTCTAAAGACAAATGAGGCCTTGTTAATTCATGACTTTGAGCCAGACCTTTGTGTACAAAAGAAGTATGTACAATTCCTACTTCTGCCTTGGCCGTAGAGGGAGAGACATTTATTTATTTTGCTTATTTAGTTATTCTATGTACTTTTCCCTTATTACTTCGATTATTATTATTATTGTTACTATTCTCACTCAGAATCTTTTCCACTTCACCAACTTGTCATGTTAAACCCAAAATTATTAATTTTTATATTTTTTATTTTTACAATATTGAATTCTATCTTATCAGATTTCACACCAAGTTATGTAACATTTTATATTTATCTACTCATCTTATAATTATGTACCCTTTTCCAAAATCTATACACCTCAAGTATTATTCTATATACGACATTAATTATTTTGCCACTTGACATTAAACCATGATTATAATCACAAATATTTTAATTGCATTTCATACTATTATTATTTCATGTATTCCCACTTTTGACCTAATTCCCTCACCGGATATAATTTCTTAAAAACCATATATATACGATTGTACAGCTTGATAATAAATTCGTTGAAAAGAGTCTCTTCGCTGAAAATTGTGTTCTTAATGCTACAATGGGAATTATTAAATTACATCAATTATATGTCTTGTCTCTATAATGTGTTTCTCAGTAGAGGAGCTAGGTCGTCTGTTCTCATCATTAATGGGTTCTAGGAATTCTATTTGCTTCCGAAGCCAATTAGGAATATGCATTGAAACCCTTAAAAGCAGAGACCGATAAGTCCTCAGTGATATATATATATATATATACATCCATTCAAAATGGTAAATACAGTGGGATATTACATCACATTTCGCATGTTCTAAATGCTTAGATGTATGCATAGGCTTCATATTCTCAATTATACTGATCATAGCTGTATAAGAAGACTTTTTAACCTCGTTGTTCAATCTTTATTGAGTAACCGAGCTTCTGTGGTCATCCATGTGGAGTAGCCTGATGTATCCGTCTTTCCTAGTGGCGAGTTAGAGAGTGGGTGTTGGTCTTCTGCCCGCTTTATATTCCCCAATGAATTTGTCTGGATAATTGTTATCAATCAGAGTTTGTGTCAACTTTCTTTCTTCCTCATCAAGTGTGTCTTCAGTGCATATTCGTTGGATTTTAGTGAGGAGGCGCCTCGCTCACTGAGGGTCTTTTTTACCGAACAGGATAGAAACTGTGATAATTAAGATACTGTCCTGAACAGGTAGGTTTTCTATAAATAGATTCTTTTATGGATCCATCAGGCCGTCGACTAAGCAATGCGTCTAGGAAGGATAAACAATTATCTTCCTCTCCTACAAAGGTAAGTGGATGAACTTCATTCAATCGATTTAAAACTGAAGTGGCAGAACAAGGCTTATCACTTATGACTGCAGTATCGTCAACATATCTTCTATAGAGTGGTGCATTTTCGATTAAGTCTTCTGATAAACTTTCAATATACGACACATCTGTTAAAAGAGTCCCCAACGAAATTCGCATCGTGAACACCATCGACCTGGAGGAAGCAACCACCTTCAAATACGAATCTAACTTTGCCAGTTCATAGAAGTAATACATTCCTCTAGTAAGGTATTGGGAATGGGGTGAAAGAGTTATGTGTCAAAATGTAATCACACAAAGTGTCAATTGTTTTAAGTAAAGGCACATTAGAGAATAAAGATTTTACATCAAAGGAGTGCATAACTTAACTCATAATACTGATATCATGAAGATAATTATTCCGTTCATATGTGTCTTTTAAAACAGAATTGTGCTTTAACTGGGTGCAATAATTCTACTAACCATTTAGGAAGTTTACATGTTGGGGATCTTCACATTGACAGTATAGGTCGGAGGGGCTTATTGGGTTTATGTGTTTTTGGTAAACCATACATATGAGGGAACTTTCATTCTAATGGTTTCAAAGAGTCAAATGTATCTTTACCTGTAGCATTTATGCCAAGAAGTTTCACTAGATTATTTTTTATATTTTTGATTTACAGCTTGATTCCACACTGTATATTTGGTACAAGTATGGAATTTTCAGCATGGATATCGGTAGCTCAAATTTCGCAGGCCGACCATAGATATCAGGTGTGCGTCGGCAGGGGATCGAACCTCGGACCATGTGTATGGTCGGCGAGAGTCCTAACCACTGTGCCACTGTCCCTTGAAACAACTGAATATCTTCTTTGGTTACAGGATTTCATCATGAGCTGACATCAATTAGGGAACCATTGGAAAACCTGGGAGCACTGGACAGCTGTTTCGTCCTAATTTGGGACTCGTCATCAGTATGCACTCATCACCACGGGGTTCGAACCCAGGAACCTCTTGTTACAAGGCTAGAGAGCTCGTATACTATTAAGCCACTGGGACCCGATCCAATGGCCCATGAATTTTAATTTCTGCCACCTAACAATATAGCGCAACCGCTAGCAAATGTCTTCGGGGAGTATTTGTCCTCACACCCGACATGCTGAATATCTTCTGAAGAGTGATTACGGCTGAATTTACTTTTATCATCAACAACAGGTAACATTTTGGATTTGTAGTCAATTTAATTTATGATGACAACCCCAGAACTTTTATCAGGTTTTGTAACTGTTATATTAGGGTTTTTCAGTAGCTCTTTCAAGGCTTTGAAATGCTGAGAATTAAAAATGGTTTTTTCTTAAGGATTGTTTCTTATAAAGCTGATGAGCTATATCTATCATCTTGGCTTTAAACTAACCCCAGTACTCATCGGATATTTCAACAAGAGATTTGAGTTTGCTGTATAAGTTTTTGAACTCAACGTGCATGGCTAAATCCGCAAACTGCATACGAGGAATACAGAATTTAA